AAACACGTAGCCTAAAGCAGATGACTCGTAAGCTGGAGGCGACTGTTGTTGTGATTTGGCGCTGTGTAAATAAAATTGAAAAAATTCATAATGAACAAATAAAATTCATTTTAAAAGTATTTTCTTTTACTAACATAATGTTGACGTGAAGAAGCCTCTTGGATGAGAAGTGAAATGTCCTTATAAAACTTTCCAAGCTCGTTAGACAATAATCTTGAATGAATTGAATAAATATGGCTGCTATCGCTCCATCAGTTCATCCACCTTATGTTTTGTTTTTATCATTTTAAATTTAAATTAAACTCAGTGGATACACAAAATACTACATCTGGGAAATGTTTTTAAAAACTCACAAATGCAGTTAAATGTTGTGTGAATGTATACAATCACATAACTGCCCAAAATTTGCAGAGCTGTTGGAATCTTTTGTAAAGCTGTCAAATCTATAGCTCTGGTTCTGAGCACCTGGTCCTCATAGTCATAATCTGACTGTGCCTGGCTGTCATGATGTGTTTGTCCCAAATGGAATCAAACAGCAGAGTCTGTCAGCTGTTATTACTGAAACATAGACTAATTGAATTCTTTCAGAGCTGGCTCCTTATGCTCTTATTCACTGGCAGAGTCTGTGGACTCCAAAGTCACTTTTAGTCTCTTGAACCCTGATTTCTTTTTAATAAATTATGTTAGAACTGTGTTGTCCATGGTGTATACAACATATTATGCTTGTTCGTGGAGTTGGTTTCATTATTTTGATGAGTATCCTGTTGTGTCACAGCCCATAGTCCTAAATGTTGAGTCCATTGTCACCTCATATTCCCTGACACATATGAATGTGGGGTGGCCTCAAACAGTTAAGTGGGACACAGCAAGAAACTGCACGTGGGCCATTACACAATCAGCTGCATCACCATCTGATAATCATGGGGACCAGCAAGGAAAAGATTCACTGTTTTCTTTGGAGCAGCGTCTTTAAAAGAGAGCTCAGAGATCAACAGTTGACAGAAGCTTTTGAGTTTAAAGCACTGAGGAGACAGTTTTCACATAATGGGCAAAAGAACTAACAGCAGGCTTTGAAAATCCTCAGATAAATAAAGATACAAATGATACTTAAGCCATTTTGTATCAAGCTGCAAGTATGGTTTTTAATTTTGCAGAGTTGGAAATTTTTAACATGGGTGTCTATAGGGACCGACCTCCCTCTGAAACCAGCTTCAAGCGGCACTTATGGATCTGCAGTTTTTGATACTTCCTCGCTGGCCTCATTTGCCATCTACACAGGTTGTCACTTGGGGAGCATTTTCAAACGTTTTCCATCCACTCACAAATCGAAACGAGGCCCCAAACTTGTTCAGCCTTTAGTTTACAAAAGTTCAAACAGCAGAAAAGATACTTTTCTATGCAATTGTCACTTTTATCAGTTATTTTTCAGCTTCATTTGGATAATACATTTCAATTGTGTTAGCAAACAAAAGAGCAGCTATAGCAAACATGGGAGTGTAAGACTAAGGATGTCCTTATTGGGGTAACTCGGAAAGTTACATTCAGATTAAAAGGTTTTCACTGACATGCTTAATTTCTATTTTATGTCTGTTTATCTTTCTTTTAATTTAAAAACGTCTGAAAACTCTCACAGCCGTGGTATCTGCCGACTGTTCCTGGGAAACAGACTCTTTCTGTATCTTCATAGCTGTTCTTTGCTGAAAATAGTAACAATTTCCTTGTATCTAGTCTTCACATCAGCTGACTGTGTACCTGTATTGTCTGAATCCTGAAGGTATTCACTCCACATCACCATTTTCACATGTTGTTGTGTTACAGCCTTATTCCAAAACATTAAATGAATTTTTCACCTCAAAATTCTGCAGAATACTAAATGAAGAAAAGTTTGCTTCACATTCTTACAAATGTATTAGTATTTGTACAGAATGTTACATGTGTTTACAGGCTTTGCTCAGTGGCACAATGATTAGCACTGTTGCCTCACAACAAGAAGGTCCTGAGTTCAGTTCCACTCCGTGGGTGGTCCTTCTTGTGTGGAGTTTGCATGTTCTCCCTGTGTTTGCGTGGGTTCTCTCCGGGTTCTCTCCGGGTACTCCGGCTTCCTCCGGCTAACGATTTATAAAAGCCTTGATAGAAATATGGTTTTCTAAACCCCATGCCCCCCTTTAGATTCATCACTGTGATAGAAGGTGGAAGGCTACCTTCAGTTAGCTGCCTGATTTAAAAATCATGTCAAACTAAGTTAACAGCTCATCTGTAGATTTTAATATAAATTCAGTAACTTTACTACAAAGCATCCATCCTGAGCTCTTCTTCTGTGCTTTTCACAGTGTGTGTGTGTGTGTGTGTGTGTGTGTGTGTGTGTGTGTGTGTGTGTGTGTGATCAGGTTGGTTGGTTGTGGTCAATACTACTGGAAGTCTAACTAGTAACAGAAGTAATAACTCAGGTGAATATAAAGACAATACAACTAAAAATCAGTCAGTGGGGGTCACTTTGGCTGTGACAATGAGTTAGCCCCCAGTTAGCCATAATGTTCGGGGTCTGTAAAGCACTTTATAAATGAGGACTGTGTGGAGGAGCCTGTATGAGTCAGGTGGTCCACCTGACTCATACAACCTGATTGTCCGTGTCTGGCCGAGTGTACTCAGCAGTGCAATCAGCTGAAATTTGTGTCATTTTTTTCTGTTCATTTCATAACAGGATCCAGAGTCCACATTGTTATCAACATTCACCCTGCAGAGGAAGAGCATCAGGACCAAGCCGGGTATCTTGGGTCTTGGTTTTGGAGAAATGTCCTCCCTTTCTTTCATCACAGCTGTCCCATGGCAGACGTTCTGTTGACTCACTGAGAGACACATCAGTTCAGAAACCCCAGAAAGACTGAAACTCATTGAAGGAGTCACAGTCTTTAGTAATAACTCCCTCAGTCCTGTAGAAACGTATATAATTATGTCCACAGTTGGTTTTAGCACATTGGGCTTTGCTATTTTAATCCGGTTTCTTTTATTGTGTGGACAGCAGCTGCGTTAGTAACAAACTGAGATATTAGAAACTACAGGCAGTCAGTGAGTGAAGAATACTGTGAGAACATCTTCATTCCTCAATGATTCATCTTCAGTTAAAAGTTTGCTAATGAGGAGATATTGAGTGCAAGAATTTTTGTAATTTGGTGTTACTGTCCTTACGGTCGTCAGGAGAGACAGAAACATGCTGCTGTCTGCACATATTCAACAATCAGCTCTGCACAGGAGCTGAAGGAGAGCCCAGTCTGTTGTTTGACGATCTTAACACCCACTTTGCTGTGGAGGAGCAGTACCTCTGATCTGAGCCCCTCCCAGCCTCCTTGCTCGATCTGTATGGCCTTACCACGTATATTTGTGATCGTTCACTCAGTGTCCACAGGTAAGACCAGAAACACAGTCTGACTGGTAAACATTTTCACTTTTCATATCCAGCTCATTTCATCATAGCAGACTGCAGACACTGTACCCCCTCAAAAAAAGGAACTCTGCGTGATGTGTGCTACAAAGGACATCATGTGGTAGTCCTTCTCCTTCTCTCAGCTGCTCCCTTTAGGGGACACCATAGGGCAGGGGTCTCAAACCCGCGGCCCGGGGACCAGTTGCAGCCCACGTCACTCCTACTTGCAGCCTGTATATTGACGTGAAGAAATGCAATTTGGCCAGTGAAGTGACTTTTTTTGTTAGGGAGGATTTGTTTGTTGTTGAGTGCAATGTTAAAATAAGTTCTTTAAAAAATGATTTCATATGAAGGCAGCGTGAGCAGAGAGCACAAACATGCTGAGGGATTGGCTGTGTTAGTTCAGTGAGAGAGTCAAAATCACACTATTTGATTTTGTTAAATCCGAACACAATGATGGCAGAAGTGCTGCCACGTGTGTGGCCACACAGAGCACCAATGTGTTTATTTGGTAGTTCAATGAAAGGCTTCGGTTAGTTACAAGTGAGAAAAAAGCGTGTTCACATTGGCAGCTTTGTCTTGTTAAACAATATTTGAAATTTTAAAAAACACACAAAATGCTACATTTTTGGAGATATTTGTGGGAGTTTTCTTGCTTGTTTTTTCATATGAAAACAAGTTTGAGACCCTGCCATCTGCCTGTTTCATCCTTTTTTGTGACTACCAGCCCTCTGCATGTGCTCCTTAACTACATCCATGAACCTCCTCTGAGGTCTTTTCCCGCCTTCCTACCTGGCATCGCTGTCATTCTTTGTTCACTCCATCCACTCTGCCTTCTCTGCACATGTCTGAACCATTTCAACCATAACTCTCTAATATTGCCTCCAAATCACTCAACCTGAGCTAATGTTCTCATTTGTAGCCCACTCTGGTCACTCCGAGTGAAAATCTTCCAATCCACCACTTCCAGCTCTGCCTCCTACTTTTTTGTTGCTTAGTTGGTTGGTTGTTAGCGCCACCATCTACAATCCAGCATCTTGTAGACCTGCTAACCAGTCATAAATCACCCCTGACACTCAGTTCCACTCTGCCTGCACTCTCTTCTTCACCTCTCTTGGCCTCTGTCAGTTGTTTTGAATGGTTGACCCCAGGTCTGGTTTCACTAGCTGTACTTGCAGCTTTGCTGTTGCACCTCTCTCCCTCTCATTCACACACATTTATTCAGTCTTGTGCTTCTTAAGGACTTTTTCTTTGCCCCTGTCTCTGTGTGTCGCCCTCTTTCTGCGGTATGTATGTATCAAATAAAAGAAACATCCACCTGGGTTATTTTCCATGCCTCACCCCCTTTACTAACACTTTGAATAACAGAAGCTTTTGGCTCCGCCTTCGCTACAGTCGCAGAGGGCTTATAAACCAGGCTCAGGCTGAGCACAGCTTCACCCACGCAGCGGACACTAATTCTTTTGCGGGCTCACTGAGGCTACACACAGGACCGAGTCATGGAAAAAGATGGAAGACCCATCTGGGACAGCCCCATTCAATTTGTGCTGGCGTGTGTATCATATGCAGTCGGACTGGGAAACGTGTGGCGGTTTCCATACCTCTGTCAATTACACGGCGGAGGTAAGTCCGTGTGACCCTCTTTCACTAAGTCATGAGCAGCACTTTCTTGTGCCTTTAAGTACGAGGGAGGTTACCAGGTTTATGATCATGTTTGATGCGCACAGAGTGTATTTGATTTGAAATGAAAAATCTCAACACACTCTCTCTGTCTTCAAAGATTCAGTGGAAAGCAGTGATGTTGTACATAACGGATTTTACTCACCTCAGCTGGTAAACGAGTTACTACAGCCATGTGTCATGTAAACGTCCGTTTATAATTTCTCAATACCACTGACTGAATTGTAAGTAAGTAACTTAATATTCTTTAATTGGTGTGAAGAGTTGTTAATTAAGACTTTATCAAAGGGGGCGGGGCGTTCTCGTGGTAAATTTCCTATGGAATCCTTACCTGACTATTGTCAGCTGTCTCGCTGCTGAAAACAATAATAAAAGTAGATGACGGTCATTAAGCGTTCGGAGCGAAAAGCAAATAATAATAATCAGAAGCGGTTTCGAAGTAGGCTTCTTTAAACAGACTCCGTTTAAGTGTGAGAGTGCGCAATTTAAAGACGAACTAAAATAAACGCAGCGCAAGCATTCAGACATTTAAAGAAGAAAAAATGTTTTCGGCTCTTCCCTGGAAATGTTTCCAACCTATGGCACTTTGTGCCGGGGTGTTTGTCCCGATGTTTCTCTCTGACTGCCAGAATCTGACTCTGTGCGTCACCCTTCATTTACTGTGCGGATGTGGAATTTTTCAGCGTCCTACTACGTATGACAGTACTGTGCTAGTGACCGACACCATAACACTTTTTGTCTTGACAACAAATCACCTTTGTGAGTGTAATTAGAAACTCGGCACACTGTGCGTTGCAGAAGGAACAACGTGAAAAGATGTTTCACACATACAAGGTTGACCATAGCCAAGCACAGATAGATGGTCTTCTGCCAAGTAGGGAGACTGGTGCCAGTTGGGTCAGGGGTTTGTTGGCACACTGTAATTCTCCAGATTGCTCAGAAGGGTACCACCATAAAAATTTTAGTTAGAAATGCTTGTCCTCAGCCACTTACGCAAAACACCTGAAGGTCACAAGAGTATCAGGTGAGGACACAGACAGGGGAAAAGAGTGGAAACCAAGTTTATAGCAAAATGCATTGATTTTATTTGGGGTCATTTCTGACCCCACCTGTGGAAGAGTGTAGGTAGGTATTGGTAGATTGTGCATCCAAGGGTTAATATGGCTCCTATCAGCTTAGAAAGTGTGCTTCTGGTTTACACTCATGGGATTCTTAAAATGCTATGGTTGTATATTTTTTTTATAATTATTTATAATTGTGGTGATGTTTATATAGCAAATTTGTCCACTGTATAACATCTGTACTGTATTCACCCTTCATGCTTTCAGGGGGGTTCTTAATCCCGTATCTCATCATGTTGCTTTTGGAGGGGTTGCCCTTATTCTACATGGAGCTCGCCATTGGTCAGAAGATGCGTTTAGGTAGCATCGGGGCATGGACTTCGATAAGCCCGTATTTGGGAGGATTGGGTAAGTGCTTGATTAAAATGAAGTCACAATGCATTTACCGCACACTTTTAGCTACACTTTTGGAAAAGTAGAGGTGTTATAAAGGAGTACCAAAGGAGAGCCTTTCTGGTGACAAAACAGTAAGCAGTTTGAATGTTGCATTAGAAGAAGCTAAAAAGGAGTCTGTGCAAAGGAGCTACAGACAGAACTTTGTAGAGTGCTGTGAATGAAAAACACCTGGGCTTTGTTTAAGTTTTAATCTTTCAAATGAACAGTTTAATTTTATGTAGACAATTTGATTTCATTTTATGTATATAGCGCCAAATTACAATAACAGTTGCCTCGAGGCGCTTTATATGCAGGTACCCTACAATAGTACAGCAGGTATAAGTAACAAGTGTCAATGTGAGATTGGTGATTTTATTTGCTGTTCTTCTGTTTTAGGGCTTGCTAGCGTTGTGACATCCGTGTATCTCTGTCTCTATTACAACGTCATCAATGCATGGAGTTTCTGGTACCTCTTTCATTCATTTCAAGTGAGCTGCTAATTTTCAAACTACTGCAGTTTTTTCAAACACATGCTACATTGTTGTAGCTCATTTGGATGTAACACATCTCTGCTGCTCTTCATGTTTATATCAATTGCAGTCAGTCCTGCCCTGGGCAGTATGCCCCATAAATTCAAACCGAACGGGACCTACAGAGGAGTGTGAGGTGGCTACACCCACCCAATATTTCTTCTACAGGGAAACACTGAACATCTCTTCTTCTATTGAAGAGAATGGAGGCATTCATACAGGACAGGCACTGTGTCTCGTGCTTGCCTGGGCAATAACCTACCTGTTCATTGTGCGAGGAGTAAAGTCAACAGGAAAGGTAAGGAGACTCACGAGTTTCTGTGATACATATCAGAAGTGGATATGAGCACAACAATCGCCATCATGAAAATGCCACTTCATAAATTTTGATGCCAAGTAACATATCCCGAAATGCATTGTCACATAATTAAATGGTAAACAAACCAGTTCTTATATACCGCTTTTCAACTCTGCCTGAGCACTCACAGTGCTTTATACAGTATAACAAGTTAACAGTATAAATCTTAGGCTGCAGACCCACAGAATGACAGAATTCCCAATCCTAATGAGGACATATATCTTTTTTTTTAAAGTCATATCAACACAAAAACAAGGAGCACAAAGCTGAAAACCACTCAAGGCAGTCTTACATATTTGTTTAATATGTGCGTTGAAGGACATGTCCTGGTCAAAAATGACTCCAAGGTTCCTCACAGCGTTACTGGAGGCCAAGGTAATGCCATCCAGAGTAAGAATCTGCTTAGATACCATATTTCTAGGCTTTTCAGGGCCGAGTACAATAACCTCAGTTTGATCTGAATTAAGAAGCAGAAAGTTAGCGGCCATCCAGGTCTTTATGTCTTTAAGACATTCCTGCAGTTTAACTAATTGGTGTGTGTCATCTGGCTTCATGCACAGATAGAGCTGGGTGTCATCAGCATAGCAGTGTAAATGTATGCTATGTCTTCTAATGATGCTGCCTAAGGGAAGCATGTATAATGTAAACAGAATTGGTCCTAGCACTGAACCCTGTGGAACTCCATAATTAACCTCAGTGTGTGAAGAGGACTCTCCATTTACAGTAACATTAGATGAGTCCACTGTCAGAGGCCATAAGATCATTTGTAACCTTCACTAAAGCTGTTTCTGTGCTGTGATGAGCTCTGAAACCTGACTGAAACTCTTCAAATAAACCATTTGTCTTTTAAAATCACTCTTTCAAGATTTTTTTGAGATAAAAGGAAGGTTGGAGATTGGCCTATAATTGGCTAAGACTGATGGGTCAATGATGGATTTTTAAGTAACCGTAACAGTTAACTGTTTTAAGTTAGTATAAAAAGTGGCTGTACAGAATGTTCCATCTGTGAGATGGTTATGAGTAATTAGTTCTCTCAGTTCACTGTACTTAATATGAATCTAGCACAGTTCTTTGCGGTGTGGTGGAAGTGGAGATGTTCCTAGATATGGACCAACAGCAGCAACTGTGTGATGTTATGTCAATATCCCCCAAAATCTCTGAGCAATATTAACAAGCCTTCTATACCACACAGCATATGGGCTATACCCCATTAGTAGCAATGTGTACCTATTGGAGGATTTGGTGAATGTAATTTACAAATATTTTCTAAACCAGCAGACCCTAGTGCCTAACTAAAACATACTGTAACACAAAGTTACCAAGTTATGATAAAATTCATAAACATTCCATCATCACACTTACACATTTGAACTTTTCTATGATTGTGCTGGTTGGCTTCTACAGGTGGTGTACTTCACAGCTACATTTCCTTATCTGGTCCTGTTTATCTACTTGATTCGGGGTGTGACTCTTCATGGTGCCATCAATGGCCTCAAATACATGTTCACACCCAAGGTAAGAGTGTCTAGGAAATGTGCTACGCAGATAAGGCTCTTCAGGTTTCATACTTAGAGTGGTTTATCTTTTATGTGTATGTACATTTGTCTGCTTTTAGATGGCTGAACTTGCCAATCCTAGAGCGTGGATCAATGCAGCCACTCAGATCTTTTTCTCCCTCGGTTTGGGTTTTGGCTCACTAATAGCCTTTGCTAGCTACAACCAGCACAACAACAACTTTCAGAACCAGGCCATCGTTGTCTCACTTATCAACAGTGGAACCTCTATCTTTGCCAGCATCGTCACCTTTGCCATCTATGGCTTCAAGGCTACTCTCAACTACGAGAACTGCCTGGACAGGTATGTATGTTTTGTGCTAATGCAGGGTTCCCGCTACACATGCAAGCATGCCTGTAAATTTACAGGTGTGTCCCTATAGGCGTGATATATTATACGGTTCAACAAGTTATTACAAATCCAGGCATGTGTACTTCAATTTCCAAAATTCAGAATATCACACATGCTTTGTAACATGCTGTTATACTAGCTCATTTTTAAAGAGGCTCTTTGTGGCCTCAAATCCAACTGAGTAACATAAAAAATACCACAAACTTTATCTTTGAACCAGTATTTTATATGTCAAAACAGCCAAATTTGCATGTTGTGATATGATGTTACAATTATAAGATCAGGATTGTAACAGTGTAAAACACTGGCATGGAAAATGACTTGTAAATGACTTCTGGTTAAAAATACAAGCTGCAAATGACAATATTTAAGGCAGAGTGAGTAAACTATTGGCCTTAATTGGCATCAAAATATCTTGAATAAATCTTTTTTCTCATCTTAGAGAAAATAAGACATGGGGATTTTTTTCTGTTATGATATTTGTGAAAATAACGTGTGTCAGCTATTATTTTTAAACCATTCACCAAGCTAATCCCATATCAATACTATCCACATCAGCACAGTAGGGTCAGCAACATTTATGTCTTGTGCAGGAAAAGTTTTAAATTCAGCGTAATTCAGCATTCCCGGACCATGAAACTGCAAACGCATTTGTATGGAGGTCAAACAAGGCAGTCTACATCAGCTTTTTGGACTAGCCGTGCACATTACATTAGCTTGTTGGAGATAATACCAAGGACGAGTTTGTTTTAAGGTTATAAAAAAAATCAAAACAGCTGGTGCCCCAAACCCGGAAGCATTTGAGGTTTTAGTTTTGTTTTTCTTGGGTTTTCTTTTCATTCAGAGTGGTTTTAAATACGTCATAGAAGTCTTAAATCTGACTAACTTTGATGAAAGAAATGAAATAAAACAAAACAAAACGAACAGTATAAGTGAGCGTAGAGACATATAAATCTGTTTGGTTTGTTGTTTCACTTGGACCCTAGACTACAGTTTAAACATAGCTCTGGCCTGTGGGCATAAAATCAAAGCTAACAGTAACATTAGCCACATTAGCCATTAGCCAAACACAATGGATTTTCCTATTGTTGTGGGGACATTGCATCAAAATAAAAGTAATCCACTGGGTCTTCAGTTCCTCAGATGCCGGGAGTGCGTGAAGACGTCTGTGTTTGCGCTCGCAGCCAACAACTGAACATTTGGTGAGTTTTGTTTGTCGCTGAGACATTTTAGTGTTAGTTAGCTAAAGCGACTCTAGCAAGAAGTTAATAGCAGTCGGTGATGCAGCTGCTCAAGGATGGAGAGTAGGTCCTGGTTGGCCATGCTAGGGCAATGTCTGAGACCAGTGGCTGCAAAGTTGTGAGATCACAAGCTTACGGAAGTGCAACAAGGGCTCCAAATGAACAGTGTTTATTACTGTCATCTAAACATCTTCATGCAAGTGCTTCTACAATGACATGTATTAGTGCTTTTACATTGAAACCATTTTTAAAAAGTCTTCTTTAGGATCAAGGTGAGGTGGTACAAACACATCAATCATTCAACCAGGACGCTCGAGTAATGCCTGGACCAGTTGTTTGGGACCATTGTAAAACTGCGGTTTAGTCATTGTTTGGTTAGGTTGATGAACCGAAACTACTTGGTTATGTTTAGAGGTTTAGAGGTTAGCATAAGGCTTGGAGAACAAAAACTACCCGGTGAGGATGAGGAAAGAGTATGGTTTTGATTCTGTTACATTATTAACAAAGTTACAGACAAGCTCAACAAAACTTATCTGAAAATGACGACACCAGTGTACATTTTGCACTTCTCCAATAAAGATTACATTGAAATTAAGCTGTATGTTGTGATAACAGCTGACACCATGTTCATCGAGAGAATAGTCTGTCACTGTATTCTGAAAACAGGCTGTGTGCATTTCTCTGTCAGTTGAGTAATTTGGTACTTTAACAACATAGCATGTTGCTTTGCTTTATCATTGAAAAGAAAAACCCAGAAATGTTCTTTCTTTTGCACAATAGGACTTTGGACCTAGAATCTGGTATACAGAACATGTGTCCAGTGTTAGATCACTTAATAACAAGACATAACAACTCTGAACAAATATCTGTGGTGTGGTGTGGTGGAGGGTTGGGTGGATGGGGGGGATTGGAGTTGATAGTAGTTGGGGGTTAGTGGTGGGGGGCTGGTATGTGGTAGGGGTCAAAGCACCATCCACATGAATGCCAAAACCCAACAGAACATTGTTTTTCATTAACATAAGTGTCATTCACTACACCTGCCAGTGGTTGGCAGCAAAACATGAAGTGAATAAATGCAATGATTTTACAAAAGTAATACAAAAAAGTAAGAATGAAATGGTTGGTTTTTGCAGTTGAAACAACTAAGAACAAAAACAGTTAAAACGGTCTCTCATCTGCCGCAAAAACATAAGTGGACTGTAAACTTAGTTCAGTATCACATCAGTTCCCAGTCTAATAAAGGAAACACTTGTGAAATACGTCTAAGTTCAACAGGTTGCAAAATGGCCTGTGCAATCATTGTTGAAGGTCAGGGTTAATTTGTGCTCCTTTTTCTTTGTTTTCAGAATGCGCCTTCTGCTGCTAAATACCTTTGATCTAGCAGAAGACGCCATCAGCATGGACAGCGTTCTCGAGTGGACTGAGAAGCTGAACACAACATATCCAGAGCAGTTTGCCAAAATTGCTGACAAAGTAAGAGAGGGAGAGTGCAACCTGGAAAAGGAACTAGACACAGTGAGTTACACTCATCTACATACAGTAACCACACGGGAAACACTACTCAGTTATAAAATAATGGAAAGTTGGAAGTTACTTAAATCGGGAAGAAAAAGAGAAACGATAAATGATCAACGTTTGTGACCCAGAGTCTGATCGTACAGTCAGGTCCATACGTTTCTGGACCATGACACAATTTCTGTCATTTGGCCTCTGTACACTACCCCAGTATATTTTAAATAAAACAGTGACGATGTGATTGACATGCACATACCACTGCAATTTAAAAAAGCTTAAGATCATGAGCTGTTCCTTTTGTCTGTCCAAGAACAGTGCACGCTATTTAGATGTTTTCTGACAATCTAATCTGCCCTTTCTGTTTTGAGGGTAACCACTACCGTATTTTCCACACTATAAGGTGCACGTAAAATCCTTTAATCTTCTCAAAAATCGACAGTGCGCCTTATGTATGAATTCTGGTTGTGCTCACTGACCTCGAACCGATTTTATGTGGTACATGGTGCTCAGAAATCTGTCAAAAATGTTTAAGTCCGACTTCGGTAAGCTATGAAGCCACACCGCCTGATGGATTGTTGGAGCATTACGACTACCGTAGTCAGGAGCCTCACGGAGTAATCTGGGTCCTAAACTCCGTCTTTTCAGGTCCCAAAGTCAAATGACCACTGCAGCATCACTGAGAGTTAAAAACTGTCTAAATTCTTTCATCTTTAATAAAATGATCAGTGTTGCTGCTTTACCAGGTGTAACAATTAAGTTTAACATCCAGGCATCCATGAAAACAGGATTTATTAAAAGGATGAACACTAAATTTTTCCACTCGATAAAAGTTAACGTGAGGGTTCCTGATGGTTAGAGACAAATACAATCGCATGGCAGGATGCTGTAAACAGACCAAACTTCAGTCAGGAGAACAACTGAGATAATCCATCCACAATACGAGGTTAGTCATTAATATACTGCAACAACATGGGAATAGAGCAGCTGCCAGAGAATTCAACATTAATGAATGTACAGAAGTGGAGGAAGCAAGAAGAATGAGTTTAATAAAGTTTGACTTATCTGACTGTTTTGTTTACCTCAATGCACTTTATAATCCGGTGCACCTTATGGTTGAAAAATACGGTAGTTTGCACTTTCCTATAAAGCCTCTGTACATGCATTGATAAAGGTAACCAGGTGTACCAGACTGCTGATTTGACCACTCCTAAGTTTTTGCCGTCTCTCTTACAGTTTTATTTTAGTTCTTCATCTTAATGATCTCCTCCTTCACTTTGGAGTTCAAATTAAATCAAATACAATTTGTTGTTGCGAGGTACTAACTAAACTACAAAAACACTACGCACCCTCTAGTGTCCAGATGTGGAATAGCATTTTAATACCTGAAACTGCCACAGTCCACCAAGAACGTTTAAATGACAGGTTAACAAATACAAACATAAACAAACAAACGAAAAACTTTAAGTTTGGCAGCTTTCTCTGTTTGTTTTCAATGCCACGTTTTAACAGATAGCTATTTTCAGCTCTTTACATGGACACTAGGGAGAAATGCAAAAATAGAGCACACAGCATGAGGGGATGTATGACAGCGATGTGACACTGGAGACTTAAAGACACGACATAATTAGGGAGATGGAACACACCAGGGAACACAGAGGAAGTAAAACTGAACAAAGAGACAGACATAAGTACAAATAAGGACATAGGGACAAATAAGATGGGAAGTAACACACACTGAGACCCAGACTAAGACATGAACTAGACACTGGGACTAGGGATAAGCAGATACATGACAGACTGGAGAGACAAAGGATGAAACAAGACAAGAGAGGAAACAGACAGGTAGACAGAACGCAGACCAGACAGAGACATGACTGAGCTGAGGGACAGACACAGAGACATGAAATAGATGGGTAAATAAACACGGAGACGAGACTGACTTTCACAGGAGAGGCTGAGAAGAGAAAAACAGAGGCGAGACAAAGACACAGAAGGAACCTAATAATATCAAACAAGAGACCATGAAAGACCGATAAACCCAGAGACACTAAAATGACTCAACTCAAGACTAAACCATACGAAGTTTGAACTTCAATCATCTTCTGAATGTAAAGGAAAGAATCATGAATCCAAAGTAAAACTCTAAACACTGTGTCAAAGAGCCAGGACAGAAGCTGCCTGCAGGGCTGAACACGTGTGGGGTTAGTTTGAGTCTGCTGTTCATGCCAGTGGCACGACCACACTGACAGATCCTGGTTGGAAGTTTGAATGCCATCCAGCAGCAGTGTTTGACCAAGCTGATCAAAAGAATAATCACTTATAATAATAATAATAAAATAATAACATGCTCCTCAGGCCCCTGTTTGTTAACTGTCAGTATGTGTTGTTTCTTTAATCATCCGTCCATCCAACCAACAACACCAAACAACTCAATTTGACTGCTTAAACCACAAATGTGTTATTGTAGACTTGGTCTCTCTGTGGTATTATATCACTTCCTGTTCCTGTTACAACACACAGTGGTTTTTTGTGTATTTTTCTGTGTAGCCCATTTAATTAAAAACCTGTAGCTAATGACTAAACATACCACTGCTGCTGCCTGTCTGTACAACCCGATATCAAACACCCCGATCCACAGTGCCCATTTCACACTTTGCCTCCAAAACGTAAAATCTACACGTTGCATTAAGTTGAAATAAGCTGCAGGACCAGCAGAGGGAAATATCTGATTTCAAGCCAACATGAAAATAATAACAGGAAAGCGTTTAAACAGACAATATTAACACATTCGCATGTATATCCATATTAGCCGCTTAATCGGGACGATGCTGGGAGCCTGGGATGTACTTTGTACGTTACGATTTTGTGGCTTTAAATATATTTTCTCCCCCTGCTGGTAATCCAATTTCTGCATGCAGTAATGCAACTCATGCATGTTTGTCTCTCTCACGTTTTAGAGAGGCAAAGTGCGAAGTGGGCACGGTGGGCCGGCGTGTCTATTACACATTTTGCTATAATACTGGGTTGGTACTTTGCATATTTACACTCCACCCTGGCTGAATTGTAAAATATTATTACTTATTTAGGTTAAAAATCTTTACTATATTACCAAAAATTTTAGAAGCACCTCAGTACACTGTATTTTTGGAAAACTGTGCATAATATTTCTGCAGGAAACATGTTCCCCATCAGTATGATATATGATACAGTACATCGTCTCCATGTTCACAGACATGAAGCCTCTTTACTGTAATTATAATTATTGAGATAAGGTTGTGGCATGTGCATCCACTTATAGGTATTTTATAAGAATGAATGATCTCTGTGAAGCGTGTCTGTATGAATAATACTTCATAAAGAGACATTTTGAAGTCATTTTATTTGACATGTAAAACACTGACACTAAATTCAGTTTCTATTTCAACTATAAACTCCCGTTATTTTTGTTTCAGGCAGTAGAGGGGACAGGCCTGGCCTTCATAGTGTACAGTGAGGCCATTAAGAACATGCCTTTGCCCCAGCTGTGGTCTGTACTGTACTTCTTCATGCTCCTGCTGTTAGGAATGGGCAGCATGTTGGGAAACGTTACAGCCATCATCACCCCGTTACGTGATTTCAAGATTATGTCCCGCATGAGCAACGAGTTGTTCAGTGGTAAGATCCGTACTGATGTTGGTGGAGAAGGTCTTCGTACTTTCTGCTGCTATGTATTCTCACTGAACCGTTGCCACACTTTTCCTGTCTGTCTGGTTGGGTTACAAACACACTGACGGTGGTAAAGATCAGCATTTATGTTTATTGCAGCTATAAAACTAGTTTTCAGCTGAGTGCACAAAGTTAAATAGAATTCAAAGTAGTAACTTGTGATGCTCCTACTTCCTACGACAGGCCGTGCAGATATTATCAAAGTGATTCTTTATGGTCCTACCATTGTGAGAAGGCAGATGTCTGGGAATGCCAGGAGCTTTACGCTGTGTGAGAATTTGGCTTTTAGAGCTTTGAGTGTTCAGAACAGAAAGGCTTTATAATAGTTGGTGTGTGAAGCAGGCAGGATTGGACCCAAGCACAGACACACAGCTTCATTGCTGGGTGCCAGAAATACTAAACTAAACTAAACTGGAACACAGGAACCTAAACTAAACACAGGGAGTAGCACACAGCTCAGAGGACGGTGGGAGGCGCAGACATAAATATGCACACGAGGGAACAAACCACAGGAGGGAACACAGCTGAACATGATCTAACTAAGGAGACAGGGGTATACAGAGCATTTATGCATTTACAGCACACATTTAGCTGCAATAACCAAACGCGACCTTCATAATTGGTAACAGGCACAAAGGTTATCCAGCTGACACTCCCCATCGCTGCACATCCTCCCAGATGCTCGGCCAGTAGAATCAGGCCATGATTCGATTCCAGAGTTTTATCATATCCCATGGGCGACCGTGGCTCAGGGGGTTGGGAAGCGCATCAGTAACCGGAAGGTTGCCAGTTCGATCACCGGGCTCGCTGTCCTGGTCATTGTGTCCTTGGGCAAGATTCTTCACCCTACCGCCTACTGGTGTTGGCCAGATGGGCCGATGGCGCGATATGGTAGCCTCGCTTTTGTCAGTCTGCCCCAGGGCAGCTGTGGCTACACCTGTAGCTGCCTCCAAAATCTATTGGAACCAACATGATCTCCTGTGAAGGCCCTGCTACGTCCCCCAGAATCAGTGTCGGATGGCCCCACACCATAGCTGAGTGCAGCAGAGACACCGCATGCCTCTACCAGCTGTGAATGCACCACTGCGCACTGCCCCATTAACTTAATGAACCCGGGCCAGTCCGTTCCATAGCAGGAGATGCCGAGACACAACAGAAGAAAACAGATTATTGGAGAAGAATGGCGGTGCTGGGACTCTTGGGGCCAAGCTCCTGCCACTGGCTAAACAGTCATGGCAACCTCAAGGCTTGCCTGCCAGTGACTGCAGACCCACTTCACTGTTGCCAGGAGCTCCTCCACGAATCGTTCTGGGAACACCGTGTTCAGCAGCTGAGCCGCTCCTGGTACAGGGCCAGGCTGCAGCCACCTGACCAGAACATGTCCTTCAACGCACATATTAAACAAATATGTAAGACTGCTTTCTTCCATTTGTGCAACATCTCTAAAATTAGAAATATCCTGTCTCAGAGTGACGCTGAAAAACTAGTTCATGCATTTATTACTTCCAGGCTGGACGACTGTAATTCATTATTATCAGGAAGTCCTAAAAACTCCCTGAAAAGCCTTCAGCTGATCCAAAATGCTGCAAAAAGAGTCCTGACAGGGACTAGAAAGAGAGAGCAGATTTCTCCTGTTTTGGCTTCCTGTTAAATCCAGAATTCTGAAAAAAATAATTCTGATAAAAAAGTCAGAATTCTGACTTTTTTATCAGAATTCTTGAAAAGAAGTGAAAAAAGGACGTGTCCCCTTTTTTCCCCCAGTGGCCCTAATCCTCCTCCGTATAAAGCAGCTCATTGTGACTGGTGTTGTAATTTGGTGCACCAGTGACTGAGCTTTTCTTGCAGGTTTGGTGTGTGTGTTCTGTCTGCTGCTGGGCCTGGGCTTCACCACCACCTCAGGGAATTACTGGTTTACCATATTCAACGACTACGCAGCCACTTTCTCTTTGCTGTTCATCGTCCTCATTGAGGTCATAGCTGTTAGTTACATCTATGGAATTAAGAGGTATGTGCTGTCATTGTGATTGTGTCCACATTTGTTACTGTAGATTAAAACCTTTTTGTTCTGGCTATAAATAATGTACTACTACTCACTGCTGTAAAATTCAATAATCGATACGAGCATGTTTTCTACTCTCTTTAGGTTTGAAAAAGACATAGAAGACATGCTTGGTCATCGTCCCAACTGGTACTGGAAAATCATGTGGGCAGTAACCAGTCCCTTGCTCCTTATTGGCCTCTTTATATTTTACATCATTAACTACATCCAAGGAGGGACACCCACTTACCAAGCATGGAATAAAGAGCTGGTGAGTTCTGCTTTCAATATTCCCGACGTGTAGACATTTTTACTTTCTCCTCAACAGACAGTATGGATTATCATTATTGAAGGTTTGGGTTAGGTCATGTTTAACAAAGTCTCCTGTGATACCGTGCACTCCAAAAAGGAAATGAGCGGAAAAGTCTGGTGGAAAATGGCAAAAAAGATGGCGTAGTGCACTATTAAATAGGATCGTTTAGATTTAAATGATGCTGTGAATCGACGACTTCCAAATAGCTCAACAAATCAAGAAGCAAAAGTAAAGGAAATGTTTTTTTCATTAGCTCATCCAGCCAAAGGACCAAAGTCCGTCTGCCATCCAACAAGAATCTGTACTCCTCCTACAGTATTGATCTGAAGTTTTAAATTGCACATAATTATCATGTAAGTTTTTTTTACCCAAACTGTGCTCAAGATCAAGCTTTGTTGTTTCATGAGCAACAATGAATCGCTCTCAGGAGCTCCATGAATTCCAGTGTGAAGTATTCCACAGTGAACTGTTTGTGCGATTATAACACAGTGGAAGCGACTGGGAATGGGAGCAGCTTCACCACCAAGTGGCCACATAAAATCACAAAGCGGATGCTGAGGTGCAAAGGCTGCCATCTTTCTGCAAAGTCAATCTCTACAGACCTCCAGATATCCCATAACCTTCAGACTAACTCAAGAACATTGCACAGAGAGATTAATGGAATGAGTTTCCATTTGGGCGATCGTGGCTCAAGAGTTGGGTGTTCGTCTTGTAACCGGAAGGTCATCGGTTCGATCCCTGGGCTCTCTGTCCTGGTCGTTGTGTCCTTGGGCAAGACTCTTCACCTACCGCCTACTGGTGTTGGCCAGAGGGGCCGATGGCGCGATATGGCAGCCTCACTTCTGTCAGTCTGTAGCTGTAGCTACAACTGTAGCTGCCTCCACCAGTGTGTGAATGTGAGAGTGAATGAATAGTGGTATTGTAAAGCGCTTTGAGGGGTCCCGAAAAGCGCTATATAAATGCAATCCATTATTATTGTTATTTCCACGGCCGAGCAGCTGCATCCAAGCGCAGTGCAAAGTGTCTGAAGCAGTGATCTCAAAGCTTGCTGAATGTCTGGCAATCCAATGGACCAGTCTGTTTTGGTGGTTGCTAGGAGAAAGGTACTGTGTAACGTTTGGGTGGGGCAGTTTATGGTGTGGGGTTGTTTCCCAAGAGCTGGGCTCAGCCCCTTAGTTCCTGCAAAATTCCATTAATGCTTCAGCATACCAAGACAGTTTGGACAATTTTATGATCCCAACTTTGTGGCAACAGTTTGGGGATGTTCAATGAAGAACAAGTATCTGTCATTTCATTTATTTACTTATAAAGCACATTTAATAACAAAAAAGAGTTGACCAAAGTGCTGTACAACGTAATAATTAAACAATAACATTAACATCATCAAACAGGTAGGAAGATTTGAATAAAAAATTGGTAACTCTCATGCAGTATAGCAGTGGTTCCCAAACTTCTTTTTGTTAGGCCCTCCTTTGTTTTTCAAGAAAATCTTCAGGCTCTAGAGGGCGTGTAAAGCTGCAAAAGGTCAGACTAATAGTTTGTTGCTTGGCCATTTAGCACTTTATAAGTCAAAAGATTTTAAAATTGAATTCTAAAATGCACCGATGAAGAGAGGCGAGCGCCGCGGGGATATGTTGTCTCCTTACACGGGTCAAGAGGCCGGCTGCAGCGTTGTGTACGAGTAGAAGCCGTGCCAGACTGGACTGACACCAGCGTATAGCTAATTAATCTGGGGCATAAAAGTTACAGCTTGGTCCAAAAATAATTACTTCAGTTTTGTCTCATTAAAGGTAAAAAAATTTGAGACCATCCAGGTTTTACCTTTGTCAAGGCATTTGAATAAAGATTCCATGGGAGTGGTGTTTCTATTATCCGAAGATAAATCTGGATGTCGTAAGAGTGAAAGCAGATATTATGCTTCCTAAAAATTAGGCCTGGGGGAGCATATAGATTGAAAAGGGAATTGGGCCTAATATGAAACCCTGCGGGACACCACAAGTAAATGGAGCTGTGGAGGACGTAAAATCATCAAAGTCCTCTCGGAGAGGTAGGACCTAAACCATTCCAAAGGGATACCTTTGATATCACATTGCTCCAATCGCAAGATCAGATTACTGTGGTCAACGGTATCAATGGCTGCAGTTAAATCTAGAAGCAGGAGCACAGCTGAGTCACCTGAGTCGGTGATTAATAAAATGTTATTAACAATAACAGACTGAAGCAAATCTATCATTCAAGAGTTTGAATTCCACCAAAATCCTAATCAGACAGAATTCTTGTAAGCACGGGGATATTTTGATATAGGGAAGGAAGTTTGATGCCATCCATGTACACAGAGATCAAACTGAAAATTAGCAGTCAAAAAAGTATAATTAAATGAATCAGAAACAGGAAAAACACCCTTCTGACACAATGTTAGTGATGACATTGGATACTACTTTGGCAGAGTTGGCTGGAGTGTAAATGAGTAATCCAGTGTAACAGCAAATTTATTTTTAAACTGCACTGTCATGTTATCTTATTTTATTCTACAATTTTATTTATAACATGTTGTGATTTGGATTACAGAGCCAACAGGTCTGTAGAGACGCCATCAACATGGCCCTACACTTCATCCTGCAGCATCTGGACTCCCCAGGAACCTACGCCAGGATCCTGTTTGTGGACTTCAGCTCTGCCTTCAACACCATCCTTCCAGACCATCTCCGAGCAAGCTTTCCCAGATGAATGTGCCTGATCCCATCTGCCGGTGGATCACTGACTTCCTGACGGACAGGAAGCAGCATGTGAGGCTGGGAAAGAATGTCTCGGACTCCCGGACCATCAGCACCGGCTCCCCTCAGGGCTGTGTTCTTTCTCCTCTGCTCTTCTCCCTGTACACCAACTGCTGCACCTCCACCCACCAGTCTGTCAAGCTAATCAAGTTTGCAGATGACACCACCGTTATTGGACTCATCTCGGACGGGGATGAGTCTGCCTACAGGAGGGAGGTTGAACGTCTGGTGTCCTGGTGCAGCCACAACAACCTGGTGCTGAATGCCCAGAAGACAGTGGAGATTATTGTGGACTTCAGGAAGCACACAGCCCCACTCCCCCCCATCATCCTGACTGACACCCCCATCACCTCTGTGGACTCTTCCGCTTCCTGGGTACCACCATCACCCAGGACCTGAAGTGGGAGCCCACCATCACCTCCGTCATCAAGAAAGCCCAGCAGAGGATGTACTTCCTGAGGCAGCTGAAGAAATTCAACCTGCCAACACGGACGATGATGCAGTTCTACACTGCAATCATCGAGTCCATCCTCACCTCCTCCATCACCGTGTGGTACGCTGGAGCCACTATCAGGGACAAACAGAGACTGCAGCGTGTTGTGCGCTCTGCTGAGAAGGTGATTGGCTGCAGACTCCCATCTCTGCAGGACCTGTACACCTCCAGGACACTGCGGCGTGCAGCTCGGATCTCAGCTGACCCTTCTCACCCTGGACACAGTCTGTTTGACCTGCTCCCCTCAGGCAGGAGGCTCCGGTCCATTCGCACCAGAACCTCTCGCCATAAGAACAGTTTCTTCCCCTCTGCTGTTGGACACATGAACAATAACCGTATGACTGTTCCCACCACTAACACATGACCCTACGCTGTGTCACTGCATCATTCCATGTTTGGCACTGATCACCACCTGCACTCATGAATATCTTTCTACGTAGCACTTTTAATTCTTATCCCTACTTTTATTTTTTCATGTCTATTTAAGTGCTATTTATGACAGTATGTTTGCACTGAAGCACCGCAGCAATTTCCTAATGTTGTAAACCTGCTCAACATTTGGCAATAAACCCTTTCTGA